TCCTTTCCATATAACAAATACCACACTTTTTCAAGATAAAAGCCATCACATCCAGTAGAAACAAACTGTTAATGTACCTTTTTTAGATCTATAACAAAGCCACATATAAACAAATTTGAAGAGTTCTAGATACAATGTGAAAACCCAGAAATGCTTTGTAATACACTCAATATATACAGGTGTAGACTACATTTCCTTAGAGTATGATATATATTTATATTTGTTTACATAATTATTTGACTAACGTCATAAGTTCTATAAGGGCCTGAAACTTATTTGTTTTAGCTGACTACTCAATCTCCAATACTCAGCTCAGTATCTAGAACACGGTAGGCACTCAATAAAGTGGAGAAAAAGCATCTCTAGTTATACATAACAACCACACCAAGGGGCAGAAGGAAACTTTTGAAATTAATAGATATGTTATCTTGAATACAGTGATGGCTTCACGGGTGCATATATGTCCAACCTTGTCAAGTTCTACACTTTAAACATATGAAGCTTATGTCAATTATACCTCAATAAAGCTGCTTTTTTAAAATGTCAAAATCTATAACATGATATGCTAAATGTATTACGCATGAAGTTCATGGGGTATTTTACAATAACATTTTACAAAGGATCAGCATTACTAGAATGTAATGGGGTTGGGGGGAAGCATTAACAGTATTAATTTTCAATTCCTGGCTTTGATAGGAAAGAGACTTTTGAAGTAAAAATCTTACCATTTAATTAGTCTCTTACCAGTTTCAAATAAGAAGTATGAATTTAAGTTCTCAACAGGATTGTTTTTAATTAGTTCCTTACCAGTTTCAAATAAGAAATATGAATTTAAGTTCTCAACAGGATTGTTTTCCCTTGAATGTTCATTTACTTTTTCAGTAAAATATTCAGAAAATTCTTTTCCTAAATAATTGTATGTGAACTTAATGCTATTTTAAATATAATGGATGACAGTTTTTAATTTTTTTTTGTCTTTAAAATTTCTATTAAAAGTTCTTTCTTATAATACCAAGCCACATTTTAAAACTCTAGTTTCATTTAAACATGAGTAGAGTATTTTCAATTATAGTGAAGAAAAAATCATTGTACTTTTTGTTGGGAATTCCCAGTATATGAAGAAGATAATAATGTTTAAAGACATTATAATAAAGACATTATAATTCTGAATTAAAAACTTGCCAAGGTGTTTGAAAAGAGAATGATGATACAGCCATGAGAAATGAATCACAGGCATGAGAGAAAAGTATTGATCTTATCATTATGAGTAAGTGCCTGAATTATTCAATGACAACAGAGTTAGAGCTTTTAGTTGAAACTGGTTCGTTTTTAAAATTTCATCACTTGGGGCGCCTGGGTGGCGCAGTCGGTTGAGCGTCCGACTTCAGCCAGGTCACGATCTCGCGCTCCGTGAGTTCGAGCCCCGCGTCGGGCTCTGGGCTGATGGCTCAGAGCCTGGAGCCTGTTTCCGATTCTGTGTCTCCCTCTCTCTCTGCCCCTCCCCCGTTCATGCTCTGTCTCTCTCTGTCCCAAAAATAAATAAACGTTGAAAAAAAAAAAAAATTTAAAATTTCATCACTTAATTTTGACAAAAGCCAATATGGTATTCACAAGATTTTTTCAATATCAAGTACTTCACAATAAATATGCTCTAAATTATTTCATGTAAATGACTCTGACAAAGTAATATACTCCAGTATATATGTTTATGAAGGACACAACCTCTTGTATCTTTAAATAGCATGCTACCATGGGGCGCCTGGGTGGCGCAGTCGGTTAAGCCTCCGACTTCAGCCAGGTCACGATCTCGAGGTCCGTGAGTTCGAGCCCTGCGTCAGGCTCTGGGCTGATGGCTCGGAGCCTGGAGCCTGTTTCCGATTCTGTGTCTCCCTCTCTCTCTGCCCCTCCCCCGTTCATGCTCTGTCTCTGTCTGTCCCATAAATAAATAAAAACGTTGAAAAAAAAAAAATTTAAAAAAAAAAAAAATAAATAGCATGCTACCCATTCTTCTACCTATTTCCAGTATCGAATCGTAAGGAACCAGATCAATCACAGTGCACACAATTTTAAGCTCATCCATTCATTCTACAAATATGTATTGATACCGTGCTATATGACAGACACAAATTGGAATGAGAAACGTAGCAAGACCTATTTCTCCTAAACAGGTAAGCAAATAAGAAAACTTCAGATAGAGATAAGTGCTACGAGAAAGACAGAATAAGGCAACGTGGTGGGGGCTGGCACTGGAGGGGAAGTGGGGAAATCTAAGCTGGGTGGGCTGGAATCATCTGACTCCAATGACTGAATGAGGAAGCAGAAGGAGAGGAGTCTGAGAGGCAGGCAAGGAGAAAATCATAAAGGGTCTGAGTTTCATTCCAAGTGTTCTGGCAAGCCACTGAAGAGTCTTAAGAAATAACACAAACTGATTTGTGCTTTAAACTAATAACCATGGCTTCTAGAAGATGAATGCGTGACAAAAATAAAAGCAGACAGATGAGTAAGGAGGCTTTTACAGGCGAGAGATCATGGTGACTTGTACAAGAGTGGCAAAGATGAAGAGAAGTGGGTAGAATTAAGATATATTTTAGAAACGGAGCCTAAAGAATGTGCTGGTTTGTTGGAGGGGTATGCATGTTAAGGGATGGTGACACAAAGAGAGCAATCAAGATGGGAAGACTTTGGGAACGTGCCTTACAAATCTAATAATATATTATCTTAACCTTATACTATCTGTTGAATCAATATAATAGCAACTATATACCAAAGGTAACAAGCATCTTTCCTTGAAATAACCAGGCAGATTTGCAATCTGATAGAATTTTGTCATAACTCAATTTTAAACTAAAAGATAATTGTAATTATCTACGATTTAAGATTAATTTACCCAATTATCTTATGCACCTGCAAAAGAATATAGAATTTGGTGGCCAGCACTATTCAGTGTCTGTATTTTATAGGAGTGTGGAAATCAACTTTCCACACCTCAGTCCTAATCAGATGCAGGGTTCTCAGGCATGTCTCTACCTTTGGGCCATAAGTTCACAAAACACATCAGGCTTTATTATAAATCAGTATATTAGTGAGCACCTATATGACTATGAGTTCCTCCCAAAGGAGACCAAATTCTTAACCCTTGGTGGCCCCAAACAACAAAAGACCCAGGCAATATCAGGTAAGTGAAAACCCACTAAGGTAGGAATATCCTCTGACATCTCTTTTTGACTTTCTGGCCTTGATAATTTTTAGCTGACAACTTTGGAGATATTTTTTTTTAACATCTTTATTAAGTTATCATTCATATAACATAACAATTCATCCATTTAAGGTGTACAGATTCCTGAGGAGAAGCTTTGTTGTAGTCAAATTGATCTCTCTGTTCCTCCCAAGGATATATGCTTTTCTATCATTCCAGTTACCTTAAACATTCACTAAACAATCATTATTGAGTATTTACTGTATGTCAAGCATCCCTACCTGAAATGATGTCTCCTTTCCACTTCCACATCCTTAACTCTGACTCTAAGACCTAGTTCAATCATGTTGATCACCTCAGCTCTTGGACTCTCTCCTTCTCTCGATGTCTATAGTCTATTGGACTTTAAGTGTCAGCCATTTTGTCATATTGCTGGTTAGCTTTCACATGTGCATTATGTGTCTTTGTCACCTAGCACTCTGGCTTGGTGCCTCACACATTTTATGCATTCGATGCATATCTTGTGGAGGATGATAAAACCTGGTCCTTAGAGAAGCTGTCCTTGAATAACCCTCTCCCTCCTAAATCCACCAGTAGCGTGGTCATAGAGCCTGAAAGTTTTAAAATGATCTTGCTGACATCTGAATTGTACTACAGGTTCTGTGACAAGGTCATGTTGCCAGAATCAGACTTCCCTGCCAGAGGCTGGCACGTTGTACTTCACACAACAATGGAAGGTGAGAATATCTGAGAGGGCTTTGAAATCAAGCAGATGCAGGGGCGCCTGGGTGGCTCAGTCGGTTAAGCGTCCGACTTCGGCTCAGGTCATGATCTCGCGGTCCGTGAGTTCGAGCCCCGCATCGGGCTCTGTGCTGACAGCCTGGAGCCTGTTTCAGATTCTGTGTCTCCCTCTCTCTGACCCTCCCCCGTTCATGCTCTGTCTCTCTCTGTCTCAAAAATGAATAAACGTTAAAAAAAAAAATTGAAATCAAGCAGATGCAGATTAGTGCAATATTCTACTTCAGTCAGGTTTCTGCCCCAATACAAATGTGTGTGGTTTCTAGCCATCAGGAATGAGTGGTTTTTCAGAAATGAGTTGATTGTCATACTATCACCATTGTGGATAGTGATAGAATGATCTGGGAAAAGGACACACTGTAAGCTAGACTGTACCATGCAATGATTGTCTCTGTATGAAAGACAGTGGTCATTTCCTATATGAATCGCATATGTTGTCAACTTTCCTGATGGGTTGGTAATGGGACACACACACGCACAGAACCATATAAAATAGATTTCTCTAGAAAATACAGGTAATCTCTGAAACTCCCTTCAGTTAAGCAGAATTGAACTTCACTTGAGGGCTCGTTAGGAATTACAAAGGTGATTGCTCATAAATCAAAAACCGTCATGCTGCTGTGCACTGATTTTGAATAAAAACTGGCTCTGGCTTTATATAAAACTATACCTAAAATGTTAATCATAAAAGCACAGCATTTTCTCTGGTTTCTGTTCACTAACTTTTAAAGCTGATGTTTTGGGGCGCCTGGGTGGCGCAGTCGGTTAGGTGTCCGACTTCAGCCAGGTCACGATCTCGCGGTCTGTGAGTTCGAGCCCCGCGTCGGGCTCTGGGCTGATGGCTCAGAGCCTGGAGCCTGTTTCCGATTCTGTGTCTCCCTCTCTCTCTGCCCCTCCCCCGTTCATGCTCTGTCTCTCTCTGTCCCAAAAATAAATAAACGTCGAAAAAAAAAAAATTTAAAGCTGATGTTTTGTTTTGTTTTACTGTCTCCATGGTTGTACTTACCCTTTTAATTTGTTCCAGACTCATGTTCATGAAGCCAGAGGATACCTGCTTTATACAGGAAGTCCTGGACCTGGAAGAAATAAAAATGGCCAGTGATGACAGTCCTAACAAGACTGCTTATTTCTTACTTTTCGAAGACCATACTTGCAAATCATGACCATCACTAAAACACAATTATCTTGAGCCCTGCTCTACCCTTGCTGATGCTTCAGGAATACTGGAAATACATTTTCTTTGTTCTAATCCCAGCCTTTGAATCAGAGCCTAGGAGAGTGGGCTCTTCATAAATATGCATTGACCACATAACGGGGAGTATTAATGTAGGGCACGGCTCTGATTAGCAAATGTTACCTGCAGGAGGCAAAGGAAATACCACAAATGGAGATAAGATGCTGTTAGTGGATTTCATTTTATCTTGAGGGTTGGAATAATCACTTATCTCTCTGGTCAAACCTCCTCAGATCTCTCCCTTCAGGATCTGAAAACAACTCACATAAAAGGCCTCTCTTCCACGGGATACTGGAGGAAGAGCACAAGACGAAGGAAGAAGCAAATTGCTTTTAATTTAATTTATTCCTTTCTTGCCATTTCAGCAGCTCACCAGAATCTACATAAAACCTTACATCCTAACTTGAAGATAAAATCAGCAATAAAAGAATACGGTACTAGTTTCAAAAACTTGTTAGCATAGACCTTGCTATACAAAATAAAAGGTAATGAGGTTAGGATGATCACTAGGGTATGGAGCAAATTAAAATGTAGCATTTATGGATTTTATGCTAGGACACTTCCCGTTTCAAGTAAAACTACTGCACTCAACTTCCTGCAGGTTTGACTCCACGCAAAAACCCAAAACAAAAAAGTCCTTTGTGAACCACCTAGCGCAATTGTTGAATTTATTGAATTCCCGAGCCTCGTCGGACTGAGCGCACACACTGGCGGGACCCTACGGCCCACTCGCAAGCAGTCCGCCTGCAACCAAGCACAGTGGCCGGAGGAGCACTGGCGCGGGGGTGGGAAGCCCGGCCTCAGAGCCTGTTGCTCGCGGGCCGGGCTATGGGGCAAGTAAGGCTCAGGCAGTGAGGGTTGCCGGCCGCTCTGGGAGGCTAGAATTCCACCCAGGCGGCGAACTCACGGTCCCTTTCCATTGCCCGGACTGGGACTTAACCCTTGGCGTCCCACGCCTTCTCAGCCCCTTCGCCGGTCCACTCGGACCCAACACCACTTTCTAGACCAAGGCCAACTCCATTGCTATTTAAAGCCGCAGGGTAGTGGGAAGGAGATACACGGAGATACAGGGGCCAAAGCACACCTTCCTCTCTGGTCAAGACTTCGGCAGAGTCAGAACCGTGTGGAGCAAGGACGGGACGAGCCGAAGCTGCGAGACGGAGCGAGGGCGCCCGGGGGGTGAAGAGGAGGCTGGGAGCTGACCACCCTTCCCCCGCAGGAATGGTGCGGCCCGGGGCGGGGT